GTTTTTAATTGTTTTTAGTTTCGTTTAGTAGTCTCCCTATTAGTCATTAGGGGCGGTCTGTGCGTTCTCGAAGATTTTCGCATTTCGAACACGTCGCAAGAATACCGACAATACCCCCTCTAGCACCTCAACGAGAGGGCTGCACACATTAGAGGTGGCGTAAATCGGTTTCTCGCGACGTGTTACCCCTATATCTGATAGAAAATTGACGAGTTTTGATGAAAGATTTCTGCTTAAAAGTTTGTGTGAAGAGAAGGCTATTATTAGACGTATTTTTAAAAAGTCTACGCGTGAATTTGCCTTTATAAAGGCTAAGGTTTAAGTAATAGCTAATAAACTATTAAAAAAGTAAAGTAGCAACCTTATTAGTAAAAAAAGGTTAATAACTTTATTAGGTAGACTACTAAGCTCTATACACGCTAAAGCTATTTTTATAATCACTAGTAAGCTACCTATAAGCACCTAGTAGCTATCTAGCGCTAGTTTAACTTAGTTTAAGTAATAAGGTAGAAATAGGGTATTATAGATAATAATATCTATAACTTTAATAAAACTAGCTTTATGATAAGTAAGATTTTATTATAGTTATAAATTATAGTATTAGAAAGATATACAAAGAAAAGTAGATATAGCTAGGCAACTATAAGTAGGTTACTATTATTTAAGGCGTAGGCGCGTTAGGCTACTAAATACTACTCTTTTTTATCTTCATAAGCAAAGTGCTTATTAACGTCTAGTTTAAGGATTTGCCTACTAACTAGGTTTTAAAGTTAGTTTTAATAGCTAAATAAATAACTAGCCTAGTCTTACCTGGACAGAGCACTTTAATACTTATATCAAGATCTCTACTATAGGTAGGTATTAACTACTTATTCATAAAAGCTATTAGAGCTACTACTTTATTAATTTCTAAAATCTTTGTAAGGAGAAGGATATTATGCTTCTCTATATGCCTACGCACTTATCTCACCTATTGTAGCCTCTGAACGTTGCCTACTTCTCGCTATCAAAGCGCAAGTATAGCAACGCTATTTTAGGCTTAGCACGCAACCGCACCTACTATATTAGCAAAGAGACCTTCCTACTAGCCTTTAAGACTGCTTTTAAGCAGTCTATTATGAAGAAGAATATCTAAGCTAGCTTTAGAGGCGCTAGTCTAGTCCTACACAACCTATAGGCTATGCTATCTAAGCTTAATATAGTAGTGTAGACACTTGTATAATTACTATAATAGATAGCCGCCTAGTAGGCGTAGACACTACGCAACGCGCGCGAGGTTAAGGCTTAAAGTACATTTATTTAATAAAGAGTAAGAAACTACCTTAGGTCTTTTATGAATTCTCTTAATAAAAAGGTTATATAGCTAAGTAAAGAAGCTTAGTAAATAGTATATAAGATAACGCTTATAAGAGAGGAAGTAGCTACTTTTTAAGAGGCTCTAGATATAGTAAATAAGCGTAAGATCTATAAGCTGCGATATATATAAATAAAAGACTGTTACTATAGGCAAAATATAAAAAGTATTAGCTAAATAAGCAAGTAGTAGTTATAGTAATATTAAGAGTACGTTAAAGAGGGTGTAAGAAGAGTAGTAGTGCAGGCGTTACAAGTAGACTAGATATAACGCCTATACTTATATAGTTAAAATAGATAGTATAAGTAATAGTAGTAATTCTAATAATTCATTTAGTATATTATAATAGTTAATTAACTATAATAAAAGACTATAATAACGTGTTAACGTTAACGCGCTAGTAGGGAGTGACTAACTCGCTTAGGTGACTAACTCGCTCATGAACCACGTTATATCTATTATTTTTATAATAATACGTATAGATTTACTACTAAAAAGTAACTTTAATAAAATAATAAAAAAGTAAGTTAATATATTTATAGTTAGAGCTATAGTAAATTAAAAATACTTAAAAAAATAAGTATATAAGCTATCGCTAGCTTTGAAAAATTAGTATAGGCGCCAAGAATAGTTAGGCTAAGAGGCTAGCGGCTTAGCGTGGCGCTAGCAAGAACTTTTGACAGTCACCTCCGTACTATTGCTTCCTAATAGTCGGCCGTCAAGTCGTATGCCCCGCACACTGGCCTACCAACAAATTCTGCCCTGCCCTGCCCTGCCCTGCCCGTATGCCAATGCCCCGCCTGCATGTCTACATATTTAATCTATGTATCTATGTACAGTTAGTCCCACCCCTCTTGACTCTCCCATCTCCCGTGGCCGCTTCCGCCACCGCCCGGCGAATCTTTGTCCTCTTCTGCTCTGGTGCTGTTGACACTGCCACTGGCCCCAATCCATCCTCATCCTCATCCTGATCCGGGCCGGGTCCTTGGACTGACTGGGTGCCTTGCTGACCATGCATGCTCCAGTCACACTCCTGAATGTCATATTGCCCAGTGCCGCCCTGGAAAATTCAGCTCCAGGCCACACCATCGTCTGCCCCTGGCGCTGTCAACGCTCCATCCGTGCTTCTTCTGACTTCTAAACTTGGTCCAGCAACCGCGTGCCCGTGCCATGTTTAAACATTACGCTGCGCTTGCTCCTTCACACAAATGGCTTCGGCTCGTGGGTAACCTGCACCGTGTTGACACTGCCCACGCTCTGCACGCTTGCTCTTGTATCCATTCCGCTGCCCGGCCTCGGCGCCTTGTGCAGACGCCCACTGTTGCTCGAGCTTCCCGATTCACTCCTTACTTGGGCCGAAAAGGGTCGTTGCGGAAGTCCCATGTTCTCCTTTTCATACAGAGTTTCCTGGCTCAACGGCGCCTGCTTCAGCACGCTGGCTGGCTCTGGGCGACGCTTTCGCTTCATGCAGCAGCAGTTTCGGTCGTAAGGATAGGCCCAGAACAGGAAGCAAACGGCCCAGATGATAATGATGCATGGTATGATTCCGACGCAGACGATGAGAGCAATGGCAGTTCCTGTGACGCCTCCGTTTCCGCCAGACTGTCCTATTAGACGCGGTTGCAGGTGAACAATGGCAGGCATGATTTGAGTGAAGTGTTTGCTTTGTCCCAGGCGATTCCGTCGACCGGTCTTCTGGGCGATGTGTAATATTGCTGGGCACTTGTAACAGTAGGGGTGGTGGTGGTGGTCAGAGAAGAAAAGGAACGATTGGGCAGAGCGAAAGACGGAACCTTGGTGGAATGGCGAGGAGACAAAGGTCCAGAGGGCGTGATAAAGTGGGTAACTGATGAAACACCGCGACATGTCGGTTGCCGGCCAGGCGCTTTGTATGCGCGCCTCGACGAGCCACACACACGGAGACGTCATGGGGGAGTGGAGTAGCACCATGACGCATACGCCCAGTGCAGATTACGCCGAGCCCTTGACACCTGTGGCGTCTGCGTGCTAACGAGCCGCTATGCGCTTGGTGTAGGGCCAGGCTCTTCCCCAGGTGTCCATGTTGTGGCCGAGTCGACCTCTTCGCCGACGACGCCACACACACACGCCCTGCCCTGCCCTGTATGTACATGTACAGCGCCGCACAGCATGCCTACCCAACATAAGCCGTGCAATAAGCCATTTGCATGTCGATGCGGCGGAACCTTGACTGTCACTGTCGCCGTTCCAGAGCCAACAGGGGGCTTGGCGCTCTCTTGTCGTCGTGTGCCATGACACTACTCGCGTGCCGTAGCAGCCGTCAGGCCAAAAACCTGAAGGATCGCAAGCGCTACGGGTGACCAGGTCATTGACGTATTGTGACCTATGGCAAATCGTCAGTCCTGCGTGTAGCTAGCGGGCCCCGGAACACCCGGCGATGACCGCATGGATGCAGGGCCGGGCCCCTGGCAAAAAAAAAAAAAAAGAACAACGACGCGTGGGGTCAGGGTCTGCGCAGTGGACAGTGGCCCGTCTGGCACGCCGTCCAGCAGCACCAGAGGCCGTCTGAAATGCTCTCCCACGAGCCTCAAACACACGTTGCAGCCAGAAGATGAAGGGACCCCCACAACCGTCGCGCGAACGTGTCAGACGGCTGTGGGGCTGTCCGGCCCAACAATAGCCGAAACACGCGCATGTACTAGTACGTATGTACGTATGTACGCTTGCACCCATGTACGTGTACATACACGACGAGGCTGAGCCTGAGTACGTACCGCCGTGCTTTGCAATCGTCTTGGATATCCTCCTGTACGAGCCGCTTTGCCATGTTTCCTGCCGGCCGGCCTCGCCCAGATCCACGACTTGGACGTCCTTTGCGCTCTCGTCGCCCGCATCCGCCCCCGCGTCTCTGGCCGCCCGCAGAGTTGATTGGAAGAGCGCTTCTGTCTCGTGCCACGGCATCGTGTAGTCGCTCTGGGCATGCACCAGGACCAAATTAAACCTCGAGCATGTTCCTGATTCTGTAGTTAGTTCCGGATCGCACGGCTTCAAGGTCCAACATCTAATCGCCTCAGCAGTTGACGCGCAACCCTCCTTTTCCCTCTTGACGACACCCGGACCAAAAAGAACTTACGCGCCAGTTCAGCGAGCCGTCTGTCGGTACGCCATGTGCAAACCATTCTTTGCGCCAACCATTGCTGGAGCCTAGGAAAGACCCGGACGGGCGCAAGGATGGGCACCACGCCACCAATCGAGTAGGATGAGAACGCGTTGCCAGCATGCGTAAAGGCCGCGCACAGAATCAGGCCTGCAAACTCAATTCCCGTTTCAGTCGCATAGCGATGAGCGATGCCGGATACAACGGCCGTGCCTAGCGAGTGACCGAGGAGCACAATACGCTCTGGGGGTATTTGAGCTTTCTTCATCGCCCACTCTACCACGGCTTCTGCATCGTCGAGCAGGCCAGCTTCCGACGGCTCTCCCTTTGAGAGGCCAAACCCACGATAGTCAAAGGCCAAGACAAAAATCTTTTCTGATGCCCCGGCCGAAAACGACCGGTACTCAATCGTCCGACGCTCCTGTGCCAAGGTCGCGGAATTTCCGTGGAAATAGATGAGAAGCTTGGCTTCTGAGTCGTGGCAGAGTGAGCTTAACGCAACGGTGTCCTCGACGTTGGTGCCTGTTTTCTCCTTGGTAAAAGCATCGACATGCTTAGCATACACGCCAAGAGGCGCAATAAGCCAAGCAAACAGTTCGTGTTTGTCCCTTGTCACGATGCGGAAGGGGACGACTTGATTCTCTGCGTGCATGTGAGCATCTATGTACGCCGGGCAGAGCCACGACTGCATCCGCGGCCCAGCACCCGCCTGGGCCTGTTCAACGTACTGAGATAGCCAGCTCTTTCAGGCTCCGTCAACCATTTTCCTGGGAAAAAGGTAATGTTGTGGAGGTATAGCGTCTCTGTCGCAGTCAGCGCGGCCCACGCCATGTTCGTATCCAATGACCCCTAACGCTTCTGCACCCACGGCAAACAGCAAAGCAGCGTAGCCGGTATCCATAGCAGGCTGATGAAAGACAGAGCCGTCCCAATCGAGCTGCCGATGCCCATGATGGAGTTGGTCGTGTGTGTACATGTAGTACATAGTAGTAGTAGTAGTAGTAGTAGAGGTGGTGTGTGGACACGAACCGCACGAGGCGGGCATGCATGGCAGCCTAGCGCGCGGCTTCCGTCGAGGCTTCCCGTTTGCCCGTGGTCGTAGCTTCCTCTTCCACTCGGCGCTTACCCCGGTAGATCCTCGAAAGTTGTCCCACTTTGGCCTGCTCCCGCTTGTTCATTTCCAAGATTGTTCCTCTTCGTCCGAAAAAAATCAATAAATATAAAAGAACTTGCCCCCCTTTGGAGACGCCGATGCCTTGTGCGGCACCTTGTCAGACCGAGGTACGCTGGCAAGACCGTGGTACGCGCAGTGCACTGGAATAATCACTTGGCAGCATCGTATGACTGAGGTATGATTCTAAACATATAACATTATTATTACGATGGCTATTAATTCATTGGCAATGCCCCCTGAGAGAGCATGATGAATGCCGGCTCATGTACTACGACTACTCCTTACATCAAGCGATGAGATAAATGCCTTGGACGGTAATTCGACTAGACCTCCCGCCACGTCCCCTCTGGTTCCGGTGGCTTACGCCCCCTTTTTCGCCATTCAATCATCTGGTACTGATCCTGCTCGGACCCAGCATGTCCCGCATCACCATCACTGGTCACGTATGCTGTGTAGCACTCTGGCTGGTTTCTGCGAAGCGGCGGACGGAGGGTGGGTGCGTCCGTCGCTGACATGTCGGCGAAAACTCGCGGTCCCGTGGCCTCGGTGGGCTGAGAGTGGCTAGGTTGCGAGCACATGGGCGATGCAGACACTCGAGAGCCGCGAGATACACGCCAATCATTACTGTATGGGTCGTCATAAACCTGGCGCGAGCTCGATGACACCGGCATCGCAGGCCTGGAATTGCCACCATTCGAGCCCACCTCAGACACTGTGAAAAAACGATCATCTTCATTTGCCTTGGAACCCCTCCGCTCGCTGCGAACCAGTCGCGTATTGCTCAAGACGATGTTTTTGGCCTTTTGCCAAAGCGATGGCTTCTTGGTGGCCTGAGACTCCATAGCCTCAGCATGTTCCGCCTCTTCCTCATGCGCACCACCTTTCTCAACATCCACCTCTGTGGCTGCTGTGTTCAACATCTCGCGTTCTCTAACCATGTTCGAGGTGATACATTTGAGCTCACCTGATTTCCATTTCTTGAGCTGCTTGCGCATGCTGTAGCATTTTGGACATTGGCCCTTGTACCGCAAATGAAGCATGTGAGCAACCATGGCGAGGAGCAGAACTGCTAGCAGTATCAGCAAAACCAGAATGACAGTAGGAAAGGTATCGTTGGACTCTGGCTTGCGCGTGCCAGGCGCAGTGGAAACAGACGGTAGAGGCCTTATAGCGGTCGGAGAAGAGACCGGCAAAAGGCTTCCAGGTAGTGAGGATGTCAAGGTGGAGGGAAAATGAAACCCTGATATACTGCTGCTCAGACTAGCTGACAAATATCCGGTCGCTGCCGATGTTGATTCTGAGGTAGAAACAGGTGAAGACATGTCTGTCATCATCGGGATATCAGTCGCATATACAGTCGTGTATTGAGTGACTGTGACTAGATCCAACGGATGGGATGAGCTGGCCATGCTTGTCGCCGTTGGGCTCTGTGGGACGAATACAGTCATATATTGAGTCTCTACGACCAGGTTAGACTGATGGGAAGGGTCCGCCATAGTTGACTTCTGTTTTTGATATTAACAATGGGCTGTTTGTGTAGTTCTGATGTCCGGAGGAAAGAGGCCTTCCTTGTTTTGCATTGCAATTGTTTTCTTCTTCGTTGAAGTAAATAGTCTTGTCTTGCAGAATAACAACCTGGCCGAGTCATTGTCACGATTTTTAGCAGCGTGAACAGACACTGGGCATTGTGCGCATACATGAAGTTATCACATTCTATGAGACTCGACTGTCGACACACAATCCTTGGTGATCAGAAGAACGCTATGAACGCACAGCAATGTGCGCATAGTTTGTTGTCTCACGCGCCAGTTCTAATCTAACATAGACTTGAAGACAGTGCTCTTCTGGACAATTGTTGATTATGACAGTGAAACAATTCCCTACTAAAATGCCAATTCAAATAAGATTTCCGAGAAAATGAGTTTAGAATATGGCATGAAACTAATCATCAAGAGTTCTGCATGACTTGGCAGTCAACTCGCGCTGGTATTTTCTGATTTTTTGTATTACTGTAACGAGGGTTCTTGTATACATACTCGTCGTGTCAACAACACACAAGCATAAAGCTTGGTATTGGCGTAGCGGAGAGACCAATCAAATGTCTTGGTACCAGAAGCAGCTGAATGCAGCGATACAGATAGGCTCGTGTATAGTAGATGGGTAGCTTTCAGCGATGGACGGAGACTCCGAGGCATTTCCGCATGCGGAATAGGCGGGCATGCGGGGAAGCCCCCTGTTCCGCCGTGGCTTGGCATCAATCTGGATAACCTGCATCACCAACCACCTGGGCATCGACCCTCGCCCATCGCCCATCGCCGCTGTACAACAGAATCATCAGCCAGCAATCGACAAAGTTAATATCTGGAGCACCCATCGAACGTTGCGAGGATAGCTGCATAGAGAAATCGCTCGATTCTCACATGTCACGCGGTGGTGACCACACCAAGCTCAGCAGCTCGCCCATCGGGCTACGTTAGCCCATCGCATACCCTGCATCATCCGTCTGATGTCGCTGGGATCGCAGAGACTCTCCGGATGAGAATCCTGGATACGTATGTCGGTCCGAACTCCACGTTTGTCAGCCGTGTTTTTTTCCGCCGGCTCCAAGGATTTATCCTTTCGGCTACATAATATCACAGTAGCTGTATATATCGCCCGGCCCGGACTCGTTTTACCGATGGCGTACTAGCAAGCATCCTTGCATGCAAAAAGATGTGCACTGCATTGCACTGCATTCACGTCTGACCCGATATTCTGGAGCAGGCTGCAAGATTACAGCATCTAGCATGGTCTTTGTGGTGAACAGAAGCACATATATGGAGAAAGCTGCCTTAACTACATGTCATATACGTGACTATTTTTGGCTATTATATGGGCGTTATAGGAATGCCATAAGCGGGATTGGGGTAACCCCAACTTCAGTACTGGGGGCTTAGTGCTTCAGCTCCGGCGCATGCTCGGTGTGTGAAATGGATCCTTGCTTAGCAGCGACTTCCTCGACCCGACGCTCGATGTCCAGAGCCCATTCGCGCTTGTTCATTCCTGGTACGAGGAGCGGGGCGTTGGTAAAGAGATAGTTCATCTCTTCCAGGGGACGCTTGGCAGTCTCGGGCAGGAAGCAGTAGAAGAAGATGGCATTGGTAAAGTTGCAAATCTGCGAGATGGTCAATTTCAAACACGTATTAGGTTACAGCACACGATACTTACAACGAAGAGCAGGTAAAATCGCCATCCAATGTTTTCCATGCCGGGCTTGGTGGTCTGGCCAATCATGGTGTTGAATGCAAAAGACGTCATGGTCGCAATGGAAACCCCCCTGGAACGGGTCTTGGTGTCAAAAATCTCTGCGGGAATGATCCAAGAAAGCGGGCCACATGTGGAGCTAAAGCAGAAATTGTATGCCCAGGTGACGGCAATGAAGCCCCATGAGGCAGCGGCATTTCCAGTGGAGCCGGGAGGGAAGACTGCCAGCATGACGGTTGCAATTATGAAAGTGACACAGTTGCCGAGGTTGCCACCGATCAAAGTCCAGCGGCGTCCCAAGCGATCAATGAAAGCAATGCAGAGGGCTTGGCCGCAAAGCGCGAGAACCGACGAGATGGCCTGGTACTTGAGGGCGTCTGTACTGCTGATACCCATCTGGTGGTAGATTGTAATCGAGTAGTACTGGATGGCCGAAACTCCAGTCATTTGGGTAGACGCCTGGATGGCACAGGCGAGGAACAGACGGCGGAAGCACGACCTGTCCTTGAAGAGATCAAGGTACGACTGAGCCTCGTGCTCACGATCAAAGCTAATGGCCTCTTGGATCTGGTCGTACTCTGCCAGGACCCAGGCGTCGGTTTCGTCGCCGTTTGCATGCAGCTTGGCCAGGTTGCGAAGGCCCTCTTCACTCTTGCCTTTGCTGATGAGCCATCTAGGCGACTCGGGAAAGACCATGATGAGCGCAGCGAGAAAGACGGCTGGAACGACTTGGATGCCAAGCGATGTACGCCATTGGCCGTTGTTGTCGTCTGCGAAGCCTATGTCGACGCCGTAACTGATCCAGGCGGCGGCCAGGGCACCGATTCCCAGCATGAACTGCACGAGAGCCGTGACACGGCCGCGGATGCTGGGGTGGACCATCTCAGACTGGTACAGGGGAACAATCATGACCAGGAAACCGACTCCGGCACCAGCAAGGACGCGTCCAGCGTAGAGGTAGGACAGCGACTGGGCCCCCGTCTGCAGCGAACCCCCGAGGATGAAGACCTGATTGAGCGGTTGCGGTCAGCAGAGGCGATATTGGACCCCAGGCTTGGGCGATTCTTACCAAGGCCCCCATCAAGATGGTGATTCTGCGACCGAACTTGTCGCCGGCAGGGCCCGCGAAGGCGGCACCGAAGAAGGCACCGCCCGTGAAGACAGACACGACGGCTCCCGTGGCATTGTCGTCGGGCTGGTTGAACTCTCTGATGAAGGCCTTGGAGGCAATGACCTGGGCGATGACACCGAGATCGTAGCCGTACAGCAGAGAGCCCAGCGAGGCAAACAGGCCCACAAGGAACTGGTATACTTTGGGCGGGAGCGCCATGGCGACTGGCGGGCAGGGCAGAGGGGTGGGGAGAGTGCGGGGCGTACTTAGTACAGTAGGGCGAGGCGCACTGCCAGCAGGCTCACTGGGCCTTTATACCAGGCACGCCTTTGGGGAGGCCGTGGCATGGCATGGCATGGCATGGCTGACCGAGTCCGGGGAACGCATCCCACGACGCCATTATAGCACCAGGGTCTCCGCAAAGGCTCTCCGCATAGCTGTAGCAGTGGCTGTGGATCTGGCGACTCGACTCCGCATGTCTCTCCTCGGCAGCCCGCGTTGCTGATCATTGCCCGCAGAGGGCTGTCGGCGCACATGCTCGGTTCAACTGCGGCCGACCGCACGCTTTGCCGCTAGCCCGGCCTGGTTAGCGCCGCCATGGAAAAACGCTGGAACGGCTCCCTCCCCACCTCTCTCCCCCTCCCTCCCGGAGCTGCACACGGGCGGCTTACTGCATACAGCTGTAGTGCAGCGCCCGTCCTCCGTGTGACGAGACGGCAGCGGGGGGTGCTGTGCATTTTCCACGAATGAGCATGCCATGGCGTCCTGGGGCATCGTCAGACACGGAGCCCACGCTATCAAACTTTCGAGGTACATACTACAACACACCACCGCAAGCAGGCCGTGGCGCTGCCAACTTGAACCCCCCGTCTTCTCTGTCTCGGTCACCAGCTGAAGGGCCATTACCAGCCTCGGTCCACCATGGCAACCTTTACCAAGATCCACGAGAGCGAAACGCCCTCCATCTCCGTCCACCCCTCCAACACGGTCGCCAAGGTCAACGACAATCTGTATGGTGGTTTTACCGAGTATGTCTGCCAAAGCGCCGCACGCCACCAGTCAGGAACGCTCTGCGTGTGCACCTTTCTTTTGATCTTTTCTCCGGCTAACCAGTCATGCGCCAGGCACATGGGCCGCTGCATCTATGGCGGCATCTACGACCCCGGCAACCCTCTGTCAGACGAACGAGGTTTCCGCAAAGACGTGATCGAGGCATTCAAGGAGCTCAAAGTGCCTGTAGTGCGCTATCCTGGCGGCAACTTTGTGGCCACTTACCATTGGCTTGATGGCGTTGGACCAAAGGAGAATAGGCCCAAGAGGTACGTCAGCTACAGACAGGTATTCACCAGCGTGTTGCCCGAGCCCCGGCCAGTGACTGCATACATATGCTGCTACTAGGTGTAGATGCGCAATGTCTTCACTAGATGCCCGGCGGCCTGTTTCCTAGATTCGCTTACAGGGTTGCCATGCTGCAGTGATCTGCCCTGAAGCGTTTCTGGAAGACCTCCCCCCCTCTTCCTCCCCTCTAGCACAATTGGACTAACCCAGAGGCTAGGCCTGAGCTTGCATGGATCGGCATTGAGCCCAACACGTTCGGAACTGATGAATTCATGCAATGGTGTGAAGAAGTCGGCACCGAGCCTTACCTTTGCTTGAACTTTGGTACCGGAACCCTTGATGAAGGTACGGATTTAGCCTACAAGCGCCTTGGAAAAGCTCAGAAACAACTAACGTGCATAGCTCTGGGATGGCTTGAGTACTGCAACTCGGACCGAGATACCTACTACGCCAATCTCCGTCGCAAGAATGGCCGTGAAAAGCCTTACAATGTGCGTTAATCTAGCATCCAACATATTGTCCTCATGACTAGTATGCTGACTTCATGGAATAGGTCAAATACTGGGCTCTCGGAAACGAGTGCTGGGGCCCGTGGCAAGTCGAGCAAATGACCAAAGAGGACTACGCCAAGAAGGCTTACCAATGGGCCAAGGCATTGAAGCTACTCGACCCAAACATCACCACTATTTTGTGCGGAGAGACCGGTTACTCGTCCTGGGACTATTATGTGCTGAACCAATGCGTAAAGTGGGACGTCCACGGCCTTAGCGGCGACACAACAAAAAGCCTAATTGACATGCACTCGATCCACATCTACACGGCAGACAAGGATCATCTTCCCAATGCCACCGCACCCAGGGCAGCCGAGCGCGCGGTACAAATGGCAGCCAGCCTGATTGACCTTGCACGCATCGAGAACAAGGTTCCCGTGACGGTGCCCAGGCAAACCATCTGCTTCGATGAATGGAATGTCTGGGACTCCATGCGTGCACCTGGCGAACTTGGCGCAGAGGAAAAATACACGCTCTCTGATGCCCTCGCCGTCGCCAACTTCCTCAACGGCTTCATCCGCCAAGCAAAAGACGTGGGCATGGCGACCGTCGCGCAAAGCGTAAATGTCATCTCGCCCCTGATGACTACAAAGGAAGGCCTCATCAAGCAAACCACGTGGTGGCCCCTCCTCCTCTTTTCAAAGTACATGCGTGGCCACACCATTGCACTCAATGTGCGGACACCCGAATACACGGGTCGCACAAACCCCAGCTGGATCCGCGGCACCATTGAGACGCCGTACTTGGACTGCAGTGCTACGCTTAGCGACGACGGTTTCGTCAACCTTGCTGTTACAAATGTGCACGAGACACAGGACTTTGCGGTTGACATTTCGGGCCTCAAGGCCGACCAGGTAGAGGTGCATACTGTCACGGGAGACGGTGTCAGCGTGGTGAATACCGACGGGGTGCAAAATGTTGGTATCAAGGAGAGCAGCTGGGATGGACAGGGCAAGTTCAAGTTTGGCAAGCATTCGTTTACCCTGCTTAGGTGGAAGGCTTAGGCGAGTCTGCATGGAAATGGCCGTCTATGACAATCAAAAGCGTCCTCCTACCATTGCCCGGTATCCATGTACTTCTTGACGCGCATCAGCAACGCGTCCCTGAATGCCCACAGCTCATCTGCATAGGTAAACAAAAAGTACGAGGCAACGACTACACTGCCCGGCAGGACTATAAGCAGTACAAAGTATTGCACCATACCCCACCATGCCTTATCCAGGCCTTTGCGCATGGCTTGTTCCTCTTTGACCTTTGGGAAGCTCTCCTTGGGAATCTCTGTACCCAGAAAATTGCACAGTGGTTCCCAGCCCAATTCGGCGTCGGTGTCCACCTCGAGCAGCCTGTCCTTGGGCACCGAGCGACGCACCGTGTCGTAGTGCTTTTCAAAGGCAGACTTTGCTCGCGGGCCGCCATAGGTATTGTTGTTGTGGGCTTTGAATATTGAGTGGATGAGGTGCATGAGCGCGGATAGTTGGGTAACGCCAAGCTGGCGGCAGAGGATAAAGAGACGCCATGTGTCCAGACACCAGATACTTTCCTGCATGCTGTGTTCCCAGTCGTCGTATTTGCGGTTGGTCAAGATGACCTTGGCTTCGGGATATGCGTCTACCAACTCTTTTGCAAAGACACAGCTGGGCAGGTCCGTGACGACGTCGTACTCGCCCAGCAGCTTGTCGAATTCTTCCTTGCCGTAGGGCGCTTGGTTCCGTTGGTAGGCCACGCGGTCTTGGGGCGGCAGCAACGTCACGTCGACGGCTTCTTGCCATAGTTCAATCTCCGAGGGCTTGGTGAGCACATCGCGCATTTGATGCGGCGTGTATCCTAGTTTGCGCAATGCGACAGCCATGCTGGTGGTTCCGGTGCGGCACATGCCTAGGACAAGCACACGCATTGGTTTCTTTCGCGTCCGCTCGTCACGGTCAATCAGCCTTGGGCTCGCCATGATGGGGTTATGGGCAAGGGGCTTTGTGTAGAAGAATGAAACAGAATCGTCACAAGTAGTGGGTATAATGTCGCGAGATGAAGAGACGTGTTGGATGTCAAGTGTGTACAGTGGGGGTGGTTACGGAATAGGCTAATTAGCGGGCTGTCGGGTGAACAGGGCCGCATGTGCGAGCCGCAGGCCTGGAGCGCCTAATCATACATTACGTAGCTTTTCAAGTTCTTCAAATGCGATACATAACATACACGCTACCTCAGGTAGGTAGCCCGATCTCCTAGCTGCGTCTGCCAATTGGCGATGAAAACGCTCGTCAACTGTTGCATTTCCAAAGTGGTTTGCGATTCCGGGTCCGCCATATACGTTACCTCATACCCCTTGTTCGCCCATGTGGCTGCAGATTGCCAGTCCTCGAGTTTGGCGTGGCTAATGGCGGCGATTTTGTAGGCTCTGGCGTAGTAGTCGGCGAGCCCCTCGGCTTGGATGAGCTGCGCGAGCTGGGCGCTCGCCTCGGCATTTTGACGGGCTCGTTGTATTCCCATGACTGTTTTTGCATGTGTGAAGCTGAGCTGGTGGTCAAAGTTTGCAAAGGCATTTTTGATGGTAACGCGGTGGTGGTCGCTGGCGTCCCTGGCTGCCCGTTCCTGCGCGCATGCTTCGCACTGGCATTTGAAGCCATATCGATCGAGTTGCTTCTGTCGCTCCTCTTGCGGCATCAAAAGTGAAATGTAGGAAACGAAGAACTCCTCGCCCGCTTTGATCTTGCGTGTAGCAAAAATGATGCGCTTATTGAGTTTCTCACTCCAATAGTAGCTTGTATTCGGCCGACACGAGTGGTTGATGCGCGCGATTCTGGGGAACAGGCCAGCCTTGTCTCCTGTGTTGTACGCGTTTGTGCGGAAAATATCGCCCAGTGTGTCGGCATCTGCATCTTCTTGGGCCCCCGTGTAATGTGTCAAGGCCAAAACTTGCTGCTGGGCGCTCGGCGGAAGCATGCTAAACTCGTCGTGGACGAGTTTTGATATGGCCGCCATTGGATACCCGCTTCCCGGCCTGAGTTTGGGCAGGCTGATTTTGATGACGGGAGTTTCGCGCATGACAATGTCGCCTATGTCGAGATCGCGAGCGGCAAACACGCCCAGGCCCTTGCCCTGGCTGGGCTTGACCAGGTAGACATGTGGTGGCCCTGGGCAGACAGGATGATGAGGGTAGCTTGGTGCCAAGTGGTCCTGGCATGTTGCGTTGCGGGCAAGCACCGAGGACGGGAACAAGGGAATGGCCAAAACAAAGTAGACGAGCATTGTGAGAGAAGAAACTGGCTAACGACCTGGTGCGAGCCACTACGTGACGGATGTCTTCAGCTTTTAGACGTTTGGCGTGATCCGACTGACATGCATACCCAGAGGGAGGGTACCTATGGTGAAACGGGTTTCATACGGAGCTGGTGCAACATGACACTCGCGTAGGGTCAAATGCGGCCGAGCTCGCAAATTGAATCAAGTTTGGGCTGCTGAAACTTTGTTGCATGGTCAGGTCCAATGGTCCCCGCGCCTTTGCGGGAGCGGTGCAGTGTGGTTGGCGATTGTGCTACGCTATGCAAGGCGAGGAGGGGTTGGGGGACACGGAGGCGAGATGACGGAAGCCGAAGCAGGGGCGCTGGGCTTACATTAGCATAAATCACGTGCGTGCATATCACGTGTCTTGTGCGTCGGTAGGCATCGGGCCGAAGGTGCTCCGGCCGACCAAGGCGCAGGAGCCTCCCCCGCGCCAATGGTGGGGTCGTGCTGTCCATCGGCTGCCCCATCGGCTGCCACATCGGCTGCCCCATCGGCTGCCCCATCGGCTGCCCCTCACGCGCCCTTGTTAAGCACAATAGGGCTGGAGCTATGTCACAATGTCTCTTCACAACTTCGCCCCGGCCGCACAGCAGCAATCATCATGTGAGTGGCATGCATCACCCCCGACATGCTTCGCTGACCATGGCCAGGTACACGGCATCCTTTGCCTTTTTCGAGGCGCTCTGGGAGTATGGCGTAAGCCATGTCTTTGTCAACCTCGGGTCCGACCATCCCTCCATCATCGAGGCCATTGTCAAGGGCCAGAATGAGAAAATGGGCGAATTCCCCAAGATTGTCACGTGCCCCAATGAGGTGAGCGTGCCGTGTGCTGAGCCGTCGACACACAGTCAAGGACTGACAGTGGCAGATGGTCGCTCTGTCCATGGCCGATGGATATGCCCGACTGACAGGCAAACCACAATGTGTTATCGTGCACGTCGACGTCGGTACCCAAGGCCTCGGAGCCGCCGTTCACAATGCCTCGTGCGGGCGCGCCCCCGTGCTCATCTTCGCCGGCCTGTCGCCCTTCACCATCGAGGGCGAGATGCGTGGAAGCAGAACAGAGTATATTCATTGGATACAGGACGTCCCAGACCAGAAGCAGATTGTCGAGCAGTACTGCAGATACACAGGCGAGATCAAGTCGGGCAAGAACGTCAAGGTGCGCTGAGAAGAGACGAGGTACCGTGGCATGATGCTAATTCTGGGGCAGCAAATGGTAAACCGAGCCCTGTCCTTTGCCATGAGTGACCCCAAAGGCCCCGTCTATCTCTATGGTGCGCGCGAGCCCATGGAAGAGGACTTGACGCCATACAAACTGCAGATGGACTACTGGCAACCCGTCGAGCCTGCCGCGCTTCCTCCCAAGGGCGTCAAAAACATTGCTGAGGCGCTAGTTAATGCCGAAGAGCCATTGATCGTGACTGGCTACTCGGGAAGAAACCACGATGCTGTGCAAGAACTCGTTCGGATGGCCGACAATGTCAAAGGCTTACGTGTGCTCGATACAGGCGGCAGCGACATGTGCTTTCCAGCAAATCACCCAGCGTGGCTAGGCTTGCGCTACGGCAATGATCCTGCCATCAAGTCAGCTGATGTTATTCTGGTCCTTGACTGCGATGTACCGTGGATCAACACCCAGTGCCATCCAAAAGAGAATGCCAGAATTTTTCATGTCGACGTCGACCCTCTCAAACAGCAAATGCCAGTCTTTTATCTCAACGCCATACAGCGCTACCGAGCCGACTCCTACACGTCGCTCAGCCAGTTGAATGAGTACCTGGAGACTGCTCTTAAAGAGAAGATCTCTAGTCAGCTCTTCAGTCAGCGATGGTCAGCCTTGCAAGAATCACACAAGAAGAAACTACAAGTCATTGCCAGCGAAGCCAAGGTCGACGACAACGGCCATTTTGGTACAGCATACCTCTGCTCCCAGCTGAAGAAACTGTGCCCCAGTGATACAATCTGGGCAATTGAGGCTGTCACTCAGACCGGCTTTGTCGCGGATCAGATACAGGCAACCTTCCCCGGCTCATGGATAAACTGCGGTGGCGGAGGCCTTGGCTGGTCTGGAGGAGGTGCCCTGGGTATCAAACTCGCCACTGACACCGAAGGCAAGAAACAGTTTGTATGTCAGATTGTAGGAGACGGTACCTATCTCTTTTCTGTGCCTGGATCCGTCTACTGGATCTCAAAGCGCTACAAGATCCCTATTCTTACCATTGTACTCAACAACAAGGGCTGGAACGCTCCACGACGCTCCATGCTGCTCGTTCATCCAGATGGAGAAGGGTCCAAGGTCAGCAATGAAGAACTCAATATTAGTTTTGCACCTACGCCAGACTATTCTGGTATTGCCAAGGCTGCGAGCGGAGGTGAGATCTGGGCTGCACACGCAAGCACCGCTGATGATCTCGGCAAACTCTTGCCGGAAGCTATCAAGTCGGTGTTGAGCGGTACTTCAGCAGTACTGGATGCCCATCTCGAGGGACCAGAAGGAAAGTATGGAGGTAGTAAGGGTCGCTTGGGCTGAGCAAACCCTTGTTTTACGGCATATTCATGCTCAACAATGCCATAGACTCATGAAATGTATATCAAGAAGAGAAGATAGATATAGGCGCGAGGATGTGCATTGTCAACATAGAAGCTTCAATCAACGTGTCAATGTGCCATGCCCGTGGATAATACAATCGACTGACTAGCTACCCAAAATGATTTTACTCTCTTGATTGCAATTACCGCACCAAGGGGGCTCACAGCAATTTTGAAAACTTGAAAATTGTTGAAATCGCCCCCTCTACGCTGGCATAGCCTGAAGGAAGTCAAATTGTGATGCAAAAGTGATCCATGGTTTAGGGTCATCAACCTCACATGCAGAGTTCACAGGAGGCAGGGTACCATCTCGCATGTAATGCATTTCGAGGCTGAATACGCAAATCACTGTCTGCTACTGTGTGGAATGCTCAAGTTGACAATCAGGGTGAAATAATAACCAGGCATGTGAACAAAAGAACACTTACGCCACCGTTGTTGAAGGGAAGCAATCCCGAGCCTAAGAACAGCCCATTCCTTTGGCGTGCCGACGCCGAATGTGTGATGGAATCCGCAACTGACAAGATGAACAAAATAGACGTACTTACGTGTGCCGTTCACCTGAGGCACGCCTTCAAACCTCTGGCTTACGGGCGCCTGTACATCCAGCCGGCTGCAAATTGGCCCACTGATCACCGCCAAGCTCAGCCCCCTGTAGGTACTTCTGCTATAAATGCAGTCTACAAAAGCCATGTAATCATCAAAGTTAGTGTAGTTGGCCCGGCCGTTGAAGTCAAGACACGTGACAAATGTGCGCGTTATACGACCATGGTACCTGGCTCTCCACGTATTGATTTCGTATTTGAGGGTATGAGTGGAAAGCAATACTGCATTTCTTATTTGGAGCCCGAGCAGCGCAATGTACATTGGAAGTAAAATATATTGACTGAGCGGTTATGTGCTGCTGAAGAACAAGCTGAAAATGTCGGTCCATTCAGGCACACAGGGCGTGGGTAAAATACCGCCTAGCGAAACAAATCGCCACGGCAGGTAGTTTTTCTCTCCTAGAGAAACCAAAAGCGTAGTACAGCTACTCAATTTCCTATCACAAAGTAGCGTTCTGAAAGAATTCGCCGAGTTTGGGACCAACTTTAAAATTGTTACTACTACTAGCAACTTAAACATGGAATATTAGGGTAAAAGCTTAACAGCAGTAGTGGGTAGTTGTATATTCCAAAATTAATTAGAAGGCTTTAATTGATATAAGCTTTGAAATTATATAGTTTCAGCAAGCTAAATACTTCTATTAAAGCTTCTTTATATCGCTAGATATATAGTTCGAATGTTTTTATACTAGTTATTAGTATGTAAGTAACGTATTCCATCACCAAGCGGGCCATATCACCGAGTGTGCCACTTTTTCTTGGCATCACGAACTTCACGTACGAAAGATTATACCCTAACAATAGAATGCAATATTCACTTAGTAAGAAGGTCGGCTTACTCTAGCTATTTAGGCTTATTATATAGGCTAGTTTAAGAGCATTTAACGCGCTGTAGCAGCCTACAACGTCTATTATTAGCAGATCTCTTAGTAGCTTTAAGGAATTACCTTTTAACCTACAATATAGCTAAATTACTAGAAGCTAACTAAGTCTAAAGAGCAAACTATTATACAATATATTCTTAACCTAGACTTATAAGGATTTGCCCTCTATCTATATAAAGTAGTTGTAACGATGTTACAACTTCGCCAAGTATTGAGCCAATCCCAGAGCCGGATCGGA